CCATTTGAGAGAGGAACACACGCCGAATATACATGATCAAAGGGGAGAGTCTGAGAGGAATACACAGAGGGAAATTTTTAGAAATGAAAGTGTTTGGACAAAGGCAAAGGATGATTCCAATAAACAAGTCAAAATAAGTCTTTTTTTTCCTCTTTAGAAAAGTAAATAAAAGATCAAACACACACACTCACACATGTGCCTACATCCCCCCAGCATCCTTTGTTTTTTTCTTTAAGAACAATCTGTAAACTTTCTGTTTCCTGCTCTTAGTCTTCCAGAATCCCTGACTTCCGGCCCTGCATAAAGAGCAAGTAGGGGAAATGGGAACAGCACCAGACAGATGACATCAGCATCTTCTGTGCCTCTGAGGAGCAGACTAATACCACCCTGAGCAGACCTAGAATCCTGTACTTCAAAAGGACTAGAAGGCAACAACACAGTTTCTCTAAACAGGACCCTATTACATGAATTAAAAAATTTTTTTAATATATATTTTATTGATTTTTTTACAGAGAGGAAGGGAAGAGACAGAGAGCTAGAAGCATCGATGAGGGAGCAGAGGCATACTTATAGCGTGTTACACTGTCTTTAATACCACCCTGAACAGACCTAGAACCCTGTACTTCAAAAGGACTAGAAGGCAACAACACAGTTTCTCTAAACAGGACCCTATTACATGAATTAAAAATTTTTTAAATATATATTTTATTGATTTTTTTACAGAGAGGAAGGGAGAGAGATAGAGAGGCAGAAACATCGGCTGAGAGAGAAACATCGATCAGCTGCCTCCTGCACACGTCCCACTGGGGATGTGCCCACAACCAAGATACATGCCCTTGACTGGAATCGAACCTGGGACCCTTCAGTCCGCAGGCCAACGCTCTATCCACTGAGCCAAACTGGATAGGGCAATTAAAATTTTTAAGGCCATAATAATGTGTAGTAAGCCATCACTGCTAGAAATATAAAATTTGGTAGGCCCAGCCAGCGTGGCTCAGTGGTTGAGGGTCAACCTGTGAACCAGGAGGTCATGGCTGGATTCCCAGTCAGGGAATGTGCCTGGATTGCGGGCTCCATCCCCAGTGGGAGGCATGCAGGAAGCAGCTGATCAATGATTCTCTCTCATCATTGATGTTTCTATCTCTCTCTCCCTCTCCCATCCTCTCTGAAATCAATACAAG